TTAAAAGAAGAAATAAAAGCAGAGCTGCGTTTGTCTCAGCCAAATTCTTTATTTGGGTTGATGGATCAAGCCCACGGGATTGAGGAGAGGAACTGGGTGCTTGAAAAACAAAGGCCCAAGTCGTTTAAAAATCTAACGGGTCAAAGGGAGCCCTATTCACGGGTCAGCCCAAACCCAGAACCCATGCACACTAACTGGTGGAACTCCAGCGCAAAACCACCAAATCCACTTTTGTCTTCATGGAACGACTGAGTCTGTGGGGTCCATCAACCAGAACGACAACTTTTGACAACTTTTCGATGCTGAAATACAGTACAAGTGCGAGCATGGGCTTTGTTACCGCTGTGACGAGAAATTTGGGCCAACCCACAGGTGTAAAAACAGATCTCTGCAAGTTTTGTTACTCCTGGATGACGAAGACACAAACCACCAGAAGTTGAGACAGAAACTGACAAAGAAGCCATCAGTGAAGGTAAATCTCTAGCTCTTTCAATGAACTCCATTGTGGTTATTTCAACGGGAAAAACTTTGAAATTAAAATGGGAGATTGGGAATGAGAGTGTGGTGGTATTGGTGGATAGTGGGGCTTCCCACAATTTTGTTTCCAATGAGGTTGTACAGAAGCTAGGGCTGAAGGTGGATGAAGGAAGGCCTTTTGGGGTAATGGTTGGGAATTGATGTACCATTCGGGGAAAAGGAATTTGTAAGGCAGTGAGGAAACTCCAGGGGATTAAGATATAGTAGGAATTTTTTCTGTTTGAATTAGGAGATGCAGACGTGGTGTTGGGAATTACATGGTTGAGTAGTTGGGGGATGTGAGCGCCAATTGGAAGAGATTAATGATGGAATTTGACTGGGAAGGGAAGAGGGTAAAACTGCGAGGGGATCCTCTATTGGTAAAGACTGAGGTCTCATTGAAAACTATGGTCAAGTCTTTACATGCTGCGGGAAATGGTTATGTAGTGGAGTTTGGAGCCATAGGGTTGAAGGAAGAGCCAGTGCAGGAGGAAATTGACTCGGGAATATTAGAGGTGATAAATAGTTACCCCCAACTGTTTGACCAGAATCCTAAATTACCACCCCGTAGGGCCCATGACCATGCCATAGAACTTCAACTAGGTTCCAAACCACCCAATATCCGACCCTACAAATACTCGTACTTTCAAAAGAATGAAATCAAGAGGCTGGTTGGGGAAATGTTGACTGCGGGGATTATACAACCTAGTGTTAGCCCGTACGCCAGTCCTGTCCTATTAGTCAAAAAGAAGGATGGGAGTTGGCAATTTTGTGTGGATTACCGGGTCATAAACGATATTACAATACCCGATAAATTCCCAATACCGACCATTAAAGAGTTAGTTGATGAATTAGCCGGGGCAACAATTTTCACAAAACTGGACCTTAAGTCGGGGTACCATCAAATTAGGGTGCAAGAGGTTGATGTTTCCAAGACAGCCTTTCGCATACATGAGGGGCATTACGAGTTCCTTGTGATGCCTTTCGGACTCACTAATGTGCCCTTAACATTTCAAGCTTAATGAACTCAGTATTTAGGCCTGTTCTCCGAAAATTCATTCTGGTCTTCTTTGATGACATCCTTGTGTATAACCCCTGCATATCCATACACATCCAGCACTTACAACTAACCTTTCAGATTTTGTAGGAACACAAGCTGGTTGTTAACAAGAAAAAATGCTCATTTGGCCAATCTAAGCTGGAATATTTGGGTCACATGGTTTCAGAAAAAGGGGTAGAGGCAGATCCGAAAAAGATTGAGGCCATGGTGTCCTGGCCGCGACCTGTGAATGTGAAGGATTTAGGGGTTTCCTTGGGCTGACAAGTTATTATCGAAGATTCGTAAAAGGATATGGTTCAATCGCACAACCCCTTACTCAGTTACTAAAAAAGGATTCCTTCACTTGGAATGATTCGGCACAATCGGCTTTTGATAGGCTCAAGGAAGCCATGACTACTATCCCAGTTTTAGCAGTTTTAGATTTCACACGCCCCTTTGAAATTCAGATAGACGCATCTGGCAGAGGTCTCGGGGCTGTTTTGGTGCAGCAGACTCGACCTATAGCTTTCCTCATCAAGGCATTCTCCCCTACAGCTAAGCTGAAATCGGTTTATGAGCGTGAATTGATGGCCATTGTTTTTGTAGTCAAGAAATGGAGTCACTATTTGCTTGGTAGAAAATTCATAATCAAGACTGACCAGCGTAGCCTCCAGTTTTTAACAGACCAAAGATCAAAAACTCTGAAGCAACACAAATGGATTTCCAAGCTGATGGGTTTTACCTTTGAAATTCAGTACTATCCAGGGGCTTCCAACCGAGTAGCAGATGCTCTTTCAAGAAGAGAAGATGGGACAGAATTGGCACACCTTTCAGCCTTATCTACGGTATAGTTTTCTGAATATGAGGAGATGGCTTCGGAGGCACAAATAGATCCGAAACTCAGGGGAATCATTCAGGACCTTCTCCTTGATTCTTCTAGTCGACCCAACTACCATCTCCGTAGGGGCTGCCTATTCTATAAGGACAGACTGGTTATTCCAAAAGGGTCTAGATTTGTTTCCAAATTAATGGCCGAGTTCCATCAGAGTCCTAGTGGAGGCCACTCAGGTTTCTTCAGAACATACAAGAGAATATCTTCGGTAGTTTATTGGGAGGGTATTCGAGGAGATATACAAAGCTACATTAAAGCCTGCACCACCTGTCAACTTAATAAGCAGTCGTCATTAAAACCTGTTGGAGGACTCCAGCCCTTTCCCATTCCAGAATAGGTTTTTGAGGATCTCTCTATGGATTTTATCGGGGGGCTGCCACGTTCGAAGGGAGTAGATACCATCTTTGTTGTTGTTGACCGCCTGACCAAGTACAGCCATTTTTTTAGTCTTGGTCACCCCTGCAATGCAAAGGATGTCGTTGCCATATTCGTTAAGGAAGTGGTCCGGCTACACGGGTTCCCTAATTCCATTGTTTCTGACAGAGACAAACTCTTTATGAGTCAGTTTTGGTAGGAGTTGTTCAAGGTTACCGGAACTATTCTGAAATTTAGTTCGGCTTACCATCCGCGGACTGATGGGCAAACGAAGGTGGTCAATAGGTGCCTCAAAGCGTATCTCTACTGTTTCTGCAGTTCTCAGCCCCGACAGTGGCCTATTTGGCTTACTTGGGTAGAGTATTGGTACAATACAACCTATCACGGCTCCATCCGAATGACTCCTTTCAAGGCCCTCTATGGACGAGACCCCCCCACCCTTTTAAAATTCACAAACTGCCCTTCAGCCGTGGAAGATGTCAATGTCCAAATGACTGAGCGAAATGCCATGTTAAAGGAACTTAAGGACAATTTAGTTGTCGCTCAAGCTCGCATGAAAAACAATGCTGACCTCCATCGGCGAGATGAATGCTTCCAGCCTGGTGACTCAGTTTTCCTGAAGTTACAGCCCTACAGGTTTAAATCACTTGCCCAGAAAGTGAATGAAAAGCTCAGTCCCCATTTCTATGGTCCTTACCCTGTTTTGGAACGCATTGGACCAATGGCTTATAAATTGGAAGGGTTTATGTCCAGTTCATTCCATCTTTTATCTGTTCCATTTTTATTCAAACTATCTGATTAATACAAATATTGCTGGGATTGCATTTGTTGTTTCTGGCGTTATTTTTGGTTGCGGCTTGACTGTGTATTGGCTTATTTTGTGTGAGAATTATTGCTGGTTGGTTGTGGATTGATTTTATCTGCAGGTGATCGCATCACAGACACAAACTACTTTTGAATCTGGAAGCATCTTCATGAATCCGTAGTTGGTGCTGGCGATGTGGTAAATTGTCTGAGACAAAGTTACCAGAAACCAAGTTCACAAACTTGGATGGAGTTTCTACAACTCCGGATGTCATAAAACAACTTGAAATTGATGGCAACGACAAAACACAGGGAGAGTGTGTTGCTGAACATGGAAGAGATGTTGAGATATTAGACAGAAATTCTGAAGACCATACTATGAAAGATTCTCTTGTTTCTCCTTCAGATACTGAAAGTTTCCATACAAAGTTCTGTTGCTGTTGATTATAACCATGCCAAAAAGTTAGGTGCGGAAGATTCTGGTATTAATCAGTCTTTGCAAGTAGAAACTAATAATAATAATTCTGTAAAACTTCAGCTTGGTGGATCTGTCTTGATGTTTCAGTTGATTCTTTGAGCCGGACTGATAGCTTGGAAGGTAACTGTGGTTCAATTTCAGGTACCCTTACATCTCTATCAATGAAAATTTTGATATTGGAAAATTTTCTTGTATATTGATAATTTTCCAGCTAACTGGATTTTAATCTGGTTTTATTGACCTTGAAAGCATCCTACTTTCTCTGTTGTGGCTTATAGAAGATAAACTGGATTCAAACATGAAAGACCTTGATTTTCTTAATGAATTAAAAAACTTAAAAGATATTGTTATACTTGCTAGATATGATGATTCTAGATCCTCAAATTTTATGAGGTCAATGCATGATAAAATTTATAATACGGACATGATATGTCTATATACATATTGCTTTTAAGTGTCTTAATTCAGATGGTCATCCTGTGTTAACCGTCTTAATGTGTGTTTTAATTTTAATGACTCAATTTTTATGCTTATGACTGATGAGCTCCTTAGGGCATAAAATGATGAATCACTAAACATTTGGGAAATCTCTAGTTAGGGATTTAGCATGCTCAAGAAATCAATCCTGTCTCTGCAGTTCTACTGGTTATTTATGTGCAAAACTTTAGTGTATCAAAATTTATCTCGAAAGAACCACTTTGCTTTCTGAAATTCAGTATATTTGCTTATTTTGATGCTTGGAACAGTGCTTTCAACACAATCAGATACACCGGCCGTTGTTGATTCTGAAACATTACCATCAACTGATAATCCAGCATCCAAAGAAGCAGAGGAAACCAACTCGAAGAAACCAGAAGGCGTAACTGAGAGACAGCTTTCCGAAAAATCAGATGTTTTTGACGCGCCATCTTTCATGACATTGGTTGAACCTGGGGGTGGGGTTCACCATAAAGGTTCTGCTTCTGCTATCCAGATAACACAGAATCCACAGCAGCAAAAAGTTCTATCGTCAGAAGCTGGTTGGTTTCCATCTCTTACAAATGTTGTGAATGAATCACAAGGGAAAGAAGAATGAAGAAATTATTGCCAAGGTCACAAACTGGAGTGCTGGAAAGCAACACACTCCTTTGAAGAAACTTTTGAGTGAGGCCAATCTTGAAACCAAACCGAAGCCTCCAAACCCGAGGGACAGTAAAACTCCTGTTGTTCAAAAAGATAAAGTGCTGGGAAAGGGAATACTTTGTATATTGGTTTTACTTTATGGGACTGAGTGCTGGTGCTTCTGTTTTTTTTGTTTTGTTATTTTTCTAGTAAATCGCTTTCAAGAAAAGATTTTGTTAAATTCAAACTTAAAACTCAAAATAATGTTGAGACAATACAATCTTATCATCTATATTTGCATTATTTGGTGGCGCAGGACATGAAGAAATATTGAAGTACTTTCTGCCTTTTTGGTGCAGATTGACAGACTTCTTAGCCTAAAAAGAGTTTAAGATAATCGGTTGTTAGGATGATGATTATAACACGTAATTCTCAACGAATAAAAGAATACAGTTTTTATAATATGGGAAATCTTATCAAGTTAATGCTCAATTAGTGAAAGGGTTTTAGTATTTTCTATTATAAGCCGGTCTAATATATATGTATAAATGACATATTACTTGGGAGATTTATTTAGTCATCAATTTCAAAATCTCAAAAGATTTATTGAGATACGTGCAANAACCTGGGGGTGGGGTTCACCAGAAAGGTTCTGCTTCTGCTATCCAGGTAACACAGAATCCACAGCAGCAAAAAGTTCCATCGTCAGAAGCTGGTTGGTTTCCATCTCTTACAAATGTTGTGAATGAATCACAAGGGAGAAAGAAGAATGAAGAAATTATTGCCAAGGTCACAAACTGGAGTGCTGGAAAGCAACACACTCCATTGAAGAACCTTTTGAGAGAGGCCAATCTTAAAACCAAACCGAAGTCTCCAAACCTGAGGGAAAATAAAACTCCTGTTGTTCAAAAAGATGAAACGACGACAAAAGATAATGGTTCTTTAGCCCCAACAGTGAACTCAATTCTGAGTTCTGGAGTACCCGCTACTGAGCCTGCAAAGAGGGAGATTGGGAAGGACTATAATTCTCCTGCACGGTATCCTGCAGATATTAAGAGAGAGAAGAGGAAAGCGAAGGGGAGGCCATACTGGGTACAATTTATGTGTTGCTCATCTGTAAATTAGGATATGCTTACTGCCTCCGTCATGTAATGTGGGACAACAAAATATTCGTGGTGTGACCGTCCAGTGCACTACTTTTTTGTGCTGGTGATCTCTGGTTACTGTTGCATTAGCTGTAATTTTGTACTTAACTAGGTTTCTGGTACATATATTGGTAGTTTCTGTTTCTGGGATTGGAATTATTGTATGTGTGAGTTCTGTTAAGTACATTGCTACAATATTATGGTTCATTGTTGTTCATGTAAAGTTTAGTTTAGTTTGATGATGAACCTAAATAATGTATTTAGGTAATCCTTTCCCATTTTAAAGTGCTGGGAAAGGGAATACTTTGCATATTGGTTTTACCTTATGGAACTGAGTGCTGGTGCTTCTGTTTTTTTTGTTTTGTTATTTTTCTTGTAAATCGCTTTCAAGAAAAGATTTTCTTAAATTCAAACTTAAAACTCAAAATATTGTAAAGACAATACAATCTTTTTATCTATATTTGCATTATTTTATGTGGTGGCGCAGGACATGAAGAAATATTGAAGTAGTTTTTGGGCCGATCGATAGACTTCTTAGCGTAAAAAAGAATAAAGATAATCGGTTGCTAGTATGATGATTATGACACCTAATTCTCAACGAATATAAGAATACGGTTTTTTTGAAACGGGAAATCTTATTAAGTCATTGCTCAATTAGTGAAAAGGTTCTAGCATTTTCTATCATAAGTCTACCATTTTTTAAGGGTCTAAAATAAATATATATGACATATTACAAATTTATCCTAACCAAAGGCTTTGACACATGTTATGTCTACCTTCATTAGAGGCTCCAACAAGTTTCATTTAAGCATCGTTTAAAAACTCGACCTGTTGGAACTTGCATCCTAAGTAAAATTGTCCAATAGATATTCTCTAAAGGGAGAACAACATTTTCCCACCCAAGGTTTGGAGAAACAACACTTTTCCCCCCTCCAAGTTTCAAAATGACACTTTCTCACATTTCGTTATGTTCTGTTATATTTTTCGTTAATATTTTACTCAAAAGACAAAAATACCCTTAAATATTTGATTTCATAAATCTTTTTATTATTTTTTAATTAGCCAAAAAGTCAAATATAAAAAAGTTAAAAAAGAAAAAATAGTTAACCCCACTTAAAAAGTTAAGAGTAATGCTATAAAATTGTTTAAAGTTAAATGATTTTAATATTTATTTATTTATTTATAATATCATCAATATCTCATCACTATTATTCAATAAACTACTAAATTTATGATGTTTTTCATAATATAATGTTTTTTTTATTTTTACTATTTAATATAAAAAATCAATATTCTTAATTAATTAAATAAACAAAGGAAAAAATATATTTTTGCACTTGAATTAATCAATAATCGACTAATTAAGAAATAAATTATTTAAGAGTATTTTCGTCTTTTCAATAAAATATTAATAGAAAACACTAACCGAATCTGACGAAATGGTGGGAAAGTGTCGTTTCGCCAAACCTTGGGTGGAAAAATGTTGTTCTCCCTTCTCTAAAATAGAAAGTATAATCAACATTGAATGAGGAATCTAAGGGAATAAGGAAGTCAAGTAAAATTAGGAAGTGAATATGACTAGGATCTGATCCCAAAGATGGAAGAGATCTCATATTCTCCTAAAACACTTACATTCTCTCTTCCACCTGAAATCCTACTCCACCAAGAAAGTAACCTTCTCAAACTCTCTCTACTTCACTATATAAAAGAGGCTAATGGCATGGAATAAGGTATAATAATTCATACGAAAAACCTTTCTAAGCAAAAGCTGACCGCAACCTGTATTAGCCTATCAATCTAGTTCTAACTTTGTGATCTCGCAGGAGCTTTGCTATTCCTTGCAGGGAGTAATGCTACAGTTGATAAAGACTTCAGAGACGCCGATNCTGGACTTTTGTTGATAAAATAGTGGAGGCTCCTGGCTCCTCGAAACGCCAGGGTTTATGTTCAGCTTTATTCTATTTTGCATTTGCTTCAGTTTTATTCAAATATTTGACTAATACAAATATTGTTGGAATTGCCCTTGCTGTTTCTGATATATTTTTGGTTGTGGATTGGTTGTATGTTGGTCTATTTTGTGTGAGAATTACTGTTGGTTGGTTGTCAATTGATTAATCTGCAGGTGTTCGTATCAGTTAACATTAAATTTTTCTTGTGTTAGCTAGATTGGAGCTTTATTTTTGCTTAATTGTTGTTTGTTTAATTTTTGTTATTCTTTAGGTTGGTTTGTGACCTTACTTTTTCTATTTTTTTGTGTAGTTTATGCGAAGAACAAGACGTCAACCAATGTTTCCTGTTGATCCAGAGATTGAAAGAACCACTCAAAGACTTAACAGAGAAAGAAGAGAAAAAGAGGCTACAGTGGAACCAAAAGCATAGTTGTAGAGATGATAGAAAATAGAACACTAAGGGAGTTTTCAGTTCCCTCAATTGATAGCAGTGGGTCGAGTATAACTAGACCAGCAGTACAAGCCAACAACTTTGAGATAAAGTCGGCAATCATCCAGATGATCCAGCAATCAGTACAGTTCAGGGGAGATTTGAAGGAAGATCCAAATCTACACATTGCCAACTTTTTGGAGATTTATGATACTTTCAAGTCAAATGGAGTGTCAGATGACGCCATCAGATTGAGACTATTCCCATTTTCATTGAAGGATAAAGCTAAAGGATGGTTAATGGCATTACCAACAGGAACGATGACAACATGGAACAATTTAGCACAGAAGTTCCTGACCAAATTCTTTCCTCCAGCAAAATCGGCAAAGTTGAGAAATGATATTACATAATTTCTACATGAAGAGTCAGAATCATTGTATGAGGCTTGGGAGAGATACAAAGAATTACTGAGGAGGTGTCCACATCATGGGTTGCCATTTTGGATGCAAGTCCAAACATTTTATAATGGATTGATGGTGAATGTGCAAACTATGGTAGATGCAGCCTCGGGAGGAGCACTGCAGAATAAGACTTCGGAAGAAGCTCCTAAGTTGCTTGAAGTTCTGGCAAGCAATAATTATCAAAGACCTAATGAGAGGGTGCAACCGAAGAAATCTATGGGTCTTCATGAAGTTGATGCATATACATCCATTTCAGCCCAACTGACAACACTTCAGAAACAGTTGGGAAGTATGCAGGTAAATTCCATTCAAGCACCTCAACTAACTTGTGAACTTTGTGTAGGTAATCATGTGAGCAACGAATGTCAAGTGGGGAACACGTTTGCTTCAGCATCATCATCGGAGCAGGTTAACTACTTGGTAGGAAATCAAAGGCAACCGAACAATCCGTACTCTAACACATATAATCCTGGTTGGAGGAATCATCCGAACCTATCTTGGGGCAATCAGAATCAGCAGAACAATCAATGGAACTAAAGAGCATCGCCAAACAACCAAACAGGGGTGAACAATCAATCAGGAGAGCAAAGAGTGACAAAATTAGAGGACATGCTTGGAAAGTTTATGCGGGAGACCACAGGTTTTATGAATGAGATAAGAACAAATTTCAGAAATCAAGGGGCGTCTATTCGAAACTTGGAGGTACAAGTGGGTCAATTGGCTGATAAGTTAAATGAGAGACCATCGGACTCACTACCGAGCAACACAGTGACTAACCCACGTGAGCAAGCAAATGCAATAACTCTAAGAAGTGGGACAGTGTTGGAAGAGATGGAAAAATCAAGGGAAGAAGAAAGTCCATCAAAGGGAGAGAAAAAGGAAGACTCTGATGAGGAGGTTGATAAAGAGATAGTTGCTGAAGAGAAACCATCTAGTTCTAGGGAAGAAGAACAAAAACGGGAAGTGAGGCAAACACAAAGGGAGAAGAAATTGTCATTTCTCGAGATATCACCAGAATTGGCACATCACACTCCTCCTGTGCCGTTTCCTCAGCGATTGAAGAAAAAGAATCAAGATAAGCAGTTTTCCAAATTCATTGAAATATTTAGAAAATTGCATATTAACATTCCTTTTGCAGATGCATTGCAACAGATGTCGAGCTACGTGAAATTTCTCAAGGAGATTTTATCCAACAAAAGGAAGTTAGAGGATGAGGAAATAGTGATGCTCACGAAGGAGTGCAGCGCCATTCTCCATAAGAAGCTACCCCTGAAACTCAAAGATCCAGGGAGTTTTACTATTTCCTTGCATTATATGAGACATTACCTTTGATCGAGTGTTATGTGATTTAGGTGCTAGCATCAATTTAATGCCTTTTTCTGTTTTTAGGAGATTGGGAATTAGTGAAGTTAAGCGAACGACCATGTCGTTGCAACTCATAGATAGATCCATCAAACAACCAAGGGGTATAGTCGAAGATGTGAAGGTGGACAAGATTATCTTTCCGGCAGATTTTGCTGTATTGGACATAGAGGAAGGTAAGGAAATGCCTCTTATTTTGGGCCGACCATTTTTTGCCACGGGAAGAGCACTCATTGATGTGCGAGAAGGAAAGTTGCTGTTGAGGGTTCAAGATGAAATAGTAACGTTCAATGTGTTTAAAGCTATGAAGTTTCCATCCGAGTCAGATTCGTGCTTTAGTGTTGATGTGGTGGATAAACTAGTAGCAGAGGTCATTGAAGAGAACACTCCACAACTACCTCTAGAAGCGTGTATTGCCCAATCAAGAACAATAGAGGCAGATGAGTCGACAAGGAACGAATGTGCTAGATTGTTAGAAGCACTTCAGCCGATTGATGAGAGCCAAGATTTAGAATTTGAGGAATTTGATTTTGAAAAAGAGAAAGAAAAGGAAAGAAAGGAAGAACCTCCAAAGCTTGAGCTGAAACCTTTACCTTCCCACCTCAAATATGTGTATCTTAGGGAATCAGAAACCTTCCCAGTAATAATCAGTTCAAGGTTGAGCAAATTGGAAGAAGAGCGGTTAATTCAAGTGTTAAGGGAACACATATCGGCAATTGGATGGACTATTTCGGATATTAGAGACATCTTTCCATCTTTTTGCATGCATAAGATACTTATGGAGGATGATATCAAGCCTAGAGTTCAACCACAACGAAGATTGAACCCTTCGATGAAAGAAGTGGTGAGAAAGGAGGTGGTGAAACTTCTAGATACAGGAATAATTTATCCCATTTCTGATAGTCCATGGGTGAGTCCGGTGCAAGTTGTTCCAAAGAAGGGAGGTATCACAGTGATAAAGAATGAGAGCAATGAATTGATACCAACTAGGACGGTCACAAGCTGGAGAGTGTGCATTGACTACCGGAAATTAAATTGAGCAATAAGGAAGGATCATTTTCCACTTCTTTTCATTGATCAGATGTTGGAGAGCTTGGCAGGGCATGCTTATTACTGTTTCTTAAATGGTTATTCAGG